TTTTGACTTCTGACTTTCAAAATTATAATAAGATATGCATTCTGAATATCTGATTATAATAAAAAATTTTTTATTAAATGAAAACTTTATATATTACATGAATTTATAAATGAAAATAATTGATACTTTAGAAAAAAAATTTTTTTACATAGAAAAATTTTTACATGTTAGAAATATTAGATTCTACAACTTTTTTTATAGATTATAATGTGAAATGTTAAGCGACTATTTTATGTGACCATAATTATTAAATTAAATATTTCTAAAAAAGGAAAAAATTGATTAAAATAAATAAAATAAGCAATCTCAATATATTACTATTTTAAATCCAAATAAAATTACATATATAAAACTATTATTTCATCATAATTTTAAGTAATTATACACATTCTCAAAATTTAACCAATTAAAATCTACTAAGGTGATGATGCATTATCTCCTATTACCTATATTAGAATTGTTTAGGATCCTATTATTACATTACTTTTTTTTTGATTTCTTTGATGTTTTTATGATTTTCATTTAGTTTGGTAAATTCATTCAGAAATTTTAGAAAAAATAATTGTATTATCATCCAATTTTAATGATAATTTTTGCATAAGATCTTAAAAGAAAATACCTCTTAATAAGTGATAATAATCCACTAAAAGAATCAAAGCAATGCAAAAAATAAGGCTTACTCTTATATTCTATACCCAAAAAAGTAGTGTTGACAAATGATTTTGAAGTAATTTTAAAATAACCTAATCATGTGATTATTTTCCTAATATCACCAATTTTTTCACTCTCACGTGATCATAGAAATATTTATCATTCTGTATCACATCCTCTGCATTTTTATTTTCATAAGTATTCAAGGAACTTAGAATTTTTTTAGGATGTGAAATCATATTTGTCACCTTTATTCGTCACATGGTTAATTTCTTAATGCTGTAATGCTAACTAATTATCACGTGGAGGTGAAAAAATTGTTGATGATATTGGGGTATATCAAAATGATTTAGGTCACTTTAAAAAAAAGGAAAATGACCTTGAAATTTACCAACACTGCAAGAAAATGCAAGACGTAGCTTGCCAAAAGATAAATATAATAGAGGAAGTTTAAATGACTTCAGGAGATAAAGTCGATATATATCTCATTTTCCATCATGAATATTTGAATCTCTATCATGTATAGCTAATCAAAAAAAAATTCAGTATTTCATGATGATCAATTATATATTGACAAAGGAACTTAAGATTTATCTCACCTGTATTCCAATAGTATAATGATTTGACAAATCTCTACTTGCATCTCTAAATTTCTCTAATATATCATCCAATGTATTTTTAAATATTCTCAGTAGTTGATACTCATTGGACGCTCACTTTGTAAGGTCATATTTATGTGGGTCACTACATGCCAATCCACAAACTACTTCTTGTTGATCTATTACATAATAAATCCACTAGATGATCCTGTTCAAGACATTCTTCTAATATATTTTTATTTTTATTCTGTCTTCAGCAACTGGCGACTACTGTAACTTCTTCCCTAAAAGTGGTTCATGTAAATTTAGATATTTGATTCTAAGGAATGGAAATAATAAGAAAAATTGAAATTTACCAAAAGATATGATAGAAACTGTTTAATTTTAGGGCACCCAAAAAAATAAAAATGACATCACTCTCTTTCTCCACAACTATTTGTTGAATCGAGTTATATTTAGATTCAAAAGCATTTAGACTAAAAAAAAGATAGTAAATCATACATTCAATATAAGCTAGACTTGTCAAAAGAGATTTACAATGTCTTGACAGCACGTTCAACCTAATACAGAATCTTTTTTAAAATACTGTAAAATAAATTATATATGACACTTTTTTATTTCAGAGTTAATATTACTCTTGAAATTCGAGTTAATTTCAAGTTATTCTGGGTTGAACATTAATCAGGTAAAGTTAGATCTGTGTTGAACAATGATTAGGTTGAGTCAAATCTCAAGTTCTATAATTATTAACGAGTTTGAGTTCGAATCTTCATAGTATGAAAAACCTTTATTATATTTTGGTGCTTTTAAATTCCTTATTTTTACCCATTTATTACGGAATTCTTAAAGCTTTAGTTACTTTTATCAAAAACATAAATATATTAATATTCGTAGTCAATACCAAATGCATCTTAGTCACCTTACTTAATTTCTCACCAAAAGGCCGAATAGATGATCACAAATTGATCTAATTTCTTCGTAATATGTAATATTAACTGCAGGTGGTCAGTCTGTTATAAGCTTAGCCTAAAACTAGTTCGAACTCTTTTTCTATCTGTGAATAGGAAGTGAGATCTAAATAAAGCTGTGCATAAGACTGCACAAAAATAATAAGATTTAAAACTATTCAATAAACGTAATCTGTAGTAGATCTATTATCAAGACTAAAACTTACTCGTATTTTGAGGTTGTTGATTTTGCACGATATTTTTCCATTACCGTTATTACAGTAGTAGTAGAAAATAACTGGAATATCACGTGATTTGATCAACATTGCTTATCACTTCCTTTTAGTAATTAAGTTTTTATTTTTTTTATGTAATTATTAAACTAACACGTGATCTACAATATAAATAAAAAAAAAAGTCATAAGATCAGCAAAAAAATTTTTTTATTCATCTTTTTTTTTCATCATACCAAAAAAACTAACTTTAAACGAAAAACGATCACTTGTAAGCAGTTTGTAGGCAAATGGAATTCATAATATTAATAAATTACATGAAATAACTTATATTCTGAAATCTACCCTATATACTTATGTCCCAAAACTTAAAAAATCCAGTACTATTAAATTAAAATCACGTTCAGGAAGACCAAAACTTGTCTCCAAAAAAACGCATTCATCTTGGAAAATTAGCTAGCACAAGAAAATGTGCAACTAGTAAAGAAATTGCTTTTACACTTAACCAAACATACCCAAACCTCAATATTGCTTCTAGAACTGTCTGAAAGAATCTTTTTAAACTAGGTTATTATGTTTGTGTACTAACTTCAATATCAATGTTGACTGGCGTTGCCAAAGAACGCAGAGTTGAATGGACAAAGTCTCATCTGAATGAAAACTGGAAAAAAGTCATTTTTTTTGACGAAATCACATTTCAGTTATTTCGTAATACAACACTGGTAAGATACAAGATTGGAGAAGAAAAACCATGGTATGCAGTTGTAAAACATCCACTCAAAGTTCACACATGGGATGCTTTTTGTGCAAATGGACTTGTGGGATTTCATTGTTTTACTGAAAATATGAGTGGAGAACTTTACCGGGATATTTTAACTAAAATCTTTTTACTAGTGCTACCAGGATCCTTGGAAGAAGGTGGACATTCCAACAGGATAATGATCCTAAGCACAGGGCAAAATTAACAACGATTCTTCTTCAAGAAAAATGTCCACGAGTGCTTGATTGGCCGTCCTATTCTCCAGACCTCAATCCCATAGAGAATCTATAGGTAATAATGAAAAAAAAGGTAGAAAAGAGGGTAAATCAACGTATAATACAAAAAAAAATCAGTTGGGTTAGATGATTTTTTGTCTATAATTCGGTCTGAATGGGAAAATCTTAGTTTAGACCTCTTATTGAATTTGTGCGCGGGTATAAAAAAACGGTTAGAAGACGTTATTGAAAAGGAGGGTCAAATCATTAAACATTAAAAATTTATTTTTATTTTCTTATAGTATCATACTATATATTGTCAAAATTTTATGTAAATAAAATAAATATTGGCTGAGAAATTTATAATTTAATAATTCTTGTTATTTTCCGCCACTACTGTATATGGGATGAAGGTAAGTCATCACCAATCTCAGATAATAACCGCTTGTGAGTACTTTTTTTTAACGGTACTAGCTATAGAGGAGAGAGATATTAATAATTGATCTCAAAATCGAATTTCACTTAACTGTTTAACGTAAAAAAATAGGGTTACCACACATAGTCCGAACTTGATAACTAAAAAATCATACCTCGTCCTGAATAACGGTTGCACCGTTCGAATCGTGTTCATATACAAAAAACGGATCTCAGCATCTATGATTGTTTCTTTCTCACTTGACTTCTGTTTCAAGGCTATTATTCCGAATCACAGAAAAAGTTAATTATGTAATGCATAGACGAGTTTGAATGATCACCAGGTTTTATAGTCTCGCGTGTGGTATTTCGTTAAAATCACTATGTGGGTACAGCATATTGTGGAACAGCCAAAGGTTATTGATTAATGTCTAATTAAATCCCTCTTACCATCTTTCATATCATTTCTACCTAGCTGTTGGGGAATTCTCCATTATAATCACTATTAATCTCATCGATCTTGTAATAAACATGGACTATATCCTCTGATTCATCATCGGATGATTTATCATTGGGAGAGAATTTATCTTGGGTAGAAACATTTGATTATTTTTAATCTGATAAAAATAAATGATTATTTTCGGTATTATAAATGTTATCACTTTCCTGTTTCGTATTATAATGAGTAATCAAGTAATCAGTTAATGGCCAAACTTGAATCATAACCCAGAAACAAATAAAACCTCACCTTATAAGTTCTGGCATCAAGGAATTCTTCGAGATCTTGGTAGTGGTTGATCTAGCATATTTTTGAACTTGATCTGTTGTAACTGTGGCTATAATTACGTGTTAGGCCGCCTATGTATGAGAAATAAGATCAAGAGTGAATGTTTAAGTCGAGCATGTTAGATTGTAGAGATAATGAATACCTGCTTCAGCCCTCGATTTCTCTTCCGCCATCTCGCTTGCGTATTGACGTCTTGGACTTCCCAGAAATGGTTTATCGGCATCGTCCTTTATCATTCTATTTTTTAAAAGGGAGAAAAGAATTAGTAAGTACATGGTGCCTTATCACACATATAAGAATTGGTAAACATAGGACAATCACGGACAAGCACAGCCTTTCCCATTGCGAACACGAAGGGTCCCAAGGTAGTCCGTTGAATGTTAATCACCAACAGGCACGAAGGACGTTCCCACTGCAAACACGAAGGGTTACAGGGTAGTCGATGTACTCGGGCTACCATGACTACCAAAGTGATCAAAAAAACAATATACTTTCCTTAAAAGTACCCATCCATTTTACTATCTCTTGTCCCATTTCAGACTTTTCTACGTAGTATTTACTTATAGTGTTTAACTCTTTATTGTAGCCGATTATATTCCGTTTTTTTATCTCCCAGATCGCCGGTGGAGAGTCGAAAGTTCAAAAATTTAGGCGTGTAGGGGTTTTCTGTATTCTCCCAAAAAAGCTACACTTAAATAGCAGGTTAATAACTTGCCATAAAGCACTGCCAAAAAGTATAATTGTCTTATCTCGGTACTGCACAGCGTTAAGACACTCGAGAGGAAGTTTGTTGCGTCTTTAGGAAGGTTTTTTTTTGTTCGCGTGTCCGACGATCAGAGAAAAAAATTAACGATTAGAGTCATGTGATTTTTTTCGGAGAATTACATCATTGTACAACCTCTAGGTCATCGTACAATTCCTCTCCTTCCGGAGAAACAAGAAGCTTGAAGGATGAGTGTACGAACTCCTTTCTTTCCCAACCCTATACAAATGAGTTCCAATGATCTTTCGTGAGAATATTTCCTTCTTGTAATACACTGTATAATGGGAGCGGTTCTCCTCAAGATCTGGCCAAGGTTGTTGGATGATAAACCGATGATGTAAAAAATGCATGGTATTAACAGCTACCTCCGAAAAGGTGAGTTTATTGTGTTCAACTTAGATAAGGCCGCCTCTTGCAATTCGGCTAAGGTTTGACACACCGTTGAACCCAAATTCAACAACATGCAATTCTTCATTCAAATTTATTTTCGACTCTTCATTTCTT